GTAGTATGAAACCATTCTTATTGAAACAGGATCAAGAACTCTGGTCCATTTTTATAAAAAAAATACTAATACAATTGCATATTCTACATTCCAAAAACGAAAATAATTTCATACAAGAAGTGGGGTTCTGACCCTCTAAAACCCAGAAGAATACAAGCTGAAGGGTTTTTTAATAAATATTACCAATACTTTGAATACATTAAAGCATGGCACGAGGTATTCGCCTTTCAAAATGATATGAATTCTCATATATGGTTTATACAAATAAAAATACAAGTAATAGAAGAATTCCAAACTGGCTCAAAAATTGGTTTCAGATATGGGGATCCGGGATGGATATATTACCACCCAATATACAAGCTTCTTAAAAAAAATTTATGGAATATAATAATAATAATTCAAAGATAGATCTCCATATGTACTTTATGGCCTTATACCAGATCCCTTGGATTATGAAATGGTCATATCATCTGTCTGATAATTATACAAATAATTGGGAATACCTTCCAGAGATAGGAAAACAAATCCTGATAAAATAAAAATGAAAAATGACTCTTTAAATCCCGATAAAATAAAAATGAAAAACGTACCATCTCCACCCCCCAATACAAAAATGCATATGACTGACTACCTAAATAAAATTCGTCAGCAATATCCAAATGAAACCAAAGAAGAACTCGAGAAAAAGGTGCTACAAATATTTGATGAGGATGAAGAAGTCATGTCAACATCAACTCAGAACGAAGAAACCTATGAACAAAAAAATGAAGACATGGATTATGGAATCTCGCAATAAGAGAACAGAGAGGACGGATCGACTGCAATCTACATAGCACACGTGTCCTCAGAATAAAACAAAATACCGACAAAATAGTAACCTGCTATTCATACCTTTTGTCAGATCAAAATACTATTTATACTTTTTGTCAGCTCAAGATACTATTGAAGACTGCTTTATGTCTTTTCCCCCGACAGCATTTGACACCGACACCTTTTTCACACGTGAAGACTACTTTAGGTCTTTTCCCCCCGACAGCATCCAAGGGCATCGGAAGAAAGGGGAGAGGACTAAGAATTTGAGTGTTTATTTGAGTGTTTGCTTAAGTGTTTGTAATAAGCCTGGGTGTTTGCTTAGGTGTTTGTAATAAGCCTGATAGTGTTCAAAAGCTATATGTGTGATTGTCACTGGGATCTTCTACCCAGCTACTATCCAGAAGAGTGGAAGCTCTTTTCCAGTTTCTGCAAGTACTATATGTAAGTTCATTCTTTATGCATTTTAAATTGTAATATGCATGAAAATTTGGCATGCTGTTGATATAAACTCAGTTATTGTTAATATATCTACTCGTTTATTTATCTGTTGTCTAATATTAATTGTTTCCGCAATATTACTAAACTTTCTTTGAATTTGTATTTTGGTGATTACTTTCTTGTTGATGACAACCCATTTGGTATCAGAACCAATCGAGAACAGTGGTGAACTGTAAGCCGGATCTGTCCTAAAGCCCAGTAAGACTAAGTAAGTTTTTCACAAAGATAGTAGTTTGACACTAAAAGTCGTTGTGACCCGAACTACCAATAGGCCAGAGAGAGCCGTGAAAGGTACAGGGATTGTTTCCGACTGACTCAGTGATCAAAATATTACCTAAACTGAAAAACTTCCTTAGGACACTATCCAGTAGGGCAGCTTCTTCTTCTAGTACACTACATATAAGGAATAGAGAAGAAGTAATCATAAATAATATAGAAAAACAAATCAAAAACTGGAATATCCCCAAAGTCCCAGCTTCCGATCTCTACAGAAAAGGGACGTTTGAGTTCAAAACAGGTTTTACTATAAAAACTGTAGAGCAAAGCATTTCTATTACAAATGAGCAAAATAGCTTTCAACTACTTTCTAGTCGTATGATACAAGATCATAAAGATAAAAACTTTAAATACCTGCATATAGGACTTGTACAAATCGCTGTAAAACCACTTACTAGAATAGGCCTGAATAACTCAATTCTACTCCGTTTAACAGATGAACGACACTGTTAGGAATAATAGAATCAAGTCTTTGTAATGGACCAATATATTTTAACTGTTTTCCCAATTTCTCAGTAGCCTTAACTGATCCTAATCTCTTGAAAGTTCTTACTCTAAACTTAAAAACTCAAGGATTTGATATGGATTTAGGATCTCAGAATATTGCCTAAGTCTATAGGATATGTTATAAAGTCATGAATACTTTATGTCCTAATGCATTGCAAATGAATATCAAGGGACAGACAGTATTCTTTCAAACTAACATAGAAAAATCTAATACTGTAATACCCAAGACGGTATCTTGGTCCCAAATTAGACTCCCTGAGAAATGGTCTCTACACTGTGAAAATCAACAATCTATAACTTCTATAAACAGAGAACCAGAGCAAATAATAGAATATCCTGACGGGGAAATTGAAATACAATTTAGCTCTTCACGACGAACTAGGATCAATACTGCTGATGATCCTTCGAAAGTCCCTGCTAGATGCTCTACTTCCTCTGCTCCTCAATCTGAGCATGAACGAACTAATAGAAGACCAGTAGTAGAAAGCCTAACTAGAACAAATAGTCAAGTCCAGCAACCAGTTTATAGAATTTAAGAACCCAGTTCCCCAAATAGAGAACCAACACCGTCAGACTTAGATTTTAATATCATTACCCTCCAGGCTGAAGAAAGATTTAAAATAGATAAAGAATGGATACAACAGGACTTCCTGTCAGATGAAAATAAAAGGATTCGAGACTGGTATCTAGCAGAATTTCCTCAAGAACTACTTGATGCTCTGCATATATGATTTATGAAATTTATAGTAAAAAACAAATAGAATGTAAAATTCTTTGAATGGTTGAGATGCATCTTAACCGAGAAAAATATCAAAATCCCATAATTCAATCTCAATATGGACGAAAGTCCATATCAAACTTTCCATACTACAAAAGGTCGAAAATTTACTCATTTCTTCTTTTTCCTATTCCTTTCATTTTCTGTCTATACTTTTTTAGAATTTTCAAAATCCAAAACAAAATTGACAAAAAAGAAAAAAGGATAAATGTTACTACCAACAAAAGAAGAAAAATAAATAATAATAACATTATGATTAGTTTTGATTGCAATAGATGCCTAATTATTATGATTTTAGTTTATATAAATAAATATATATATATATATATATTTATATATATAAATATATATTTATATATATTTATAAATATATATTTATATAGACATACACATATACATATATGTGTATATATACATATGTATATATACTATATATGTAATACATGTATGCATGTATATGTACATATATATACGTATGTATATATATATGTACATATGTAATTATATATATGTATACATATATACTGTATATCATATATATACATATATATATACATACATATACATACATATACATATATATACATATATATATATATATATATTATGTACTTATGTAGTTAAAAATAATTTTAATTATTTTAAAAATAATATAATTAATAAAAAGAAAATTAATTAACAAAAATGCTAATAATATATTACTGAAAAGAAAGAAGTAAAAAGTCAATACCTATATTGCTAAATATAAAAAAGAAAAAGATAATACTTTCATTGTTTTTCTTTTTTGCATCTTTAGCTTTTTTTAATTGTTCAAAGTAATACTCATTTATAAGTAAATAATATTTTAATATAAGTAAGACTAATTTAGTGAAGGATATAATTAAAATGAAAAAGAAAAGAACACATAATCACAATAAGGAAGTTCTTGGGCTTTGGTTCAGACCCATAAATGACCAAAATGTATTAAATTGGAATGGAAGAAATATTGAGATTTTTGTGTATTGTTTCTCAATTATTTCTAGCAAACAAGACCTGAAAAGTAGGGTCATCTTCTCTCTATATAATTATGTGAAAATGGATCTATCAGAAGCTCTCTCTTTCTCTTCATAATCGAATGTTCTTTTAAAATATCATTTCAAGAAAAAAAATTTATTTCTATAATTAACAATTAATTTCACGTGCAACGCACATGCATATCACTAGTATCAATTTATGCAAGAAACATACTTTGCCTGCCAAGATAAACCAAGTACAGGGGAAATATGGCACACGAGAACCAACATCTAGCACAAAACCTCTAAACACAATAGGATAATATCTGAACAGCAAACACATATAAAAATCATTTCACTTTCACATGGATAGAAAACACTGAAAAAAGGAATAAGAGGCAGAGCCCTTTCTAATAAAGAAATTCTCAGACCTCCATAAATTTTTCCATGTCTCCCACAATATCTTTTCTAATGTAGAGATTTGACAACAAACAAGTTTTTAGATTTATATTACAGCAAAAAAAATGGAAAACTAGGTTTTCCACCCAAAAACAGTTATTAATTGTTCAATATATCTCAGAAGATAAATAAACGATTCATAAATAGAATGTGGTAGTTATCCTTTACTGTTTGAAGACCATGAACGATAAAGTATTTCCAACAATGCTCAATTTACGTGTTCTAAGATAATGGAAAGCAAATATGAAGACTTGAACAAATAAAACCCATTTCTATAACTCACTATGATGTATATGAAGATATTTATGGACGAAAGAATCAAGCAAATTCCCTTTCAGATCTATATGTGCTGCAGATTAGAGAAGGAACAAAACTGAACTTGAATACCCTGTTAAAGAAATACCACCCAAAACCCATATTGCTAAAAGCTAAAAAAAAATTAAAAACTGGTTTTCTAATGAATAATTCTATACCTTTAATAGAATTGTTAAGATGTCCAAATAGGGCCTTGGTTAATGCGTTAACAATCAGAAGTTTATATCCAAAGTTAGAATCTTAATGCCAAGGGAAAAAAGGGAAAACTGTACTAGCTTGCAAGTTAAACTTTTCAGTTTAAGCATTTCTATTAAACAAACTTCTCAGACAATAAGTTGCTAATATAAGAACTTTTCACTTACAGTTAAGGTGCCTAAAAGATTGGACGACACTGTCACTGCAAGAGCAAGAGCCGAGTTGCCCCCAACAAGCTGATAGAATGAAGAACAAGACGCAGTCAAAATGTCATGATATATCCAATTTGATCTATCTGACTTGTGTAGATGAGTATGTTATACCATACCTGGGTCAGAGCCACTCCACTTGACAATGTTGTTGGCATGCAGCAGAAGATAGCCAAGCCTATTACATAGGGCATAATGTCAGAAGCTAATGCAGTAGAAGCCTAGTAAATTAATCAACTAGCAAATACCATGACAAGAAAAATGGTTCAGCATTGCAAAAGTTACAGGAAAGCAAGGTATAGTGTTGATGCTCAAGAAAATAACCTCTTATAAACTCTTGAGGTATCAACTCAAGTTGCAGAATGAGTTTTGAGAAAAAAGGAGTGAAAAACAGAATTGAACACTGCAGGAGTGAGAGGATATTAGCAACCAAATAGATTCCATAGTGACAATAGAAGCAAGTATGACTTACCATGAATATAAAATGCATCCCAAATACCAAGGTTTATCATATACTGATTAGCAATACAAAATTGGATTTAAGTTAGTCTAGAAAAACAATGCATAAAAGCAATAAAAACTTTCCCAAGAAATGTAATATTTTCTGTTGTTCCATGGGGAACAACAGAAAGAGATATCGCAAACTCATTAAAAACTACATAACAGAATGCTTCATATTAGAGCAAATCAGCTCCATCAATCTCGTGTATGCAGTTATACATTTACAACAAGAGGACTCAACTACTTGCTGGTTACCATTGAATGGCCAAAAGAACAATTATTGATAGAAAGAAGCATGTTACAAGCCTTTGAGTTTCTTCCTTCCAAGAAGGTAAGAGCAGTGAAAATTAGTAGTCAGCCATGTAACACGTAAATCCTTAATAACTCATGCATCAAAGTTCTAGTTATATAGCCAGTGTCAAAATACCACTCGAAATTATGGTAATTAGATGAAATAATAGCGTCCCCAGAGTGATCATATGCAAAAGGAAAAAAAAGTACTCCTTCCTCAAATCCAAAAAGGAAGTGGGAACTGGCCTAGATAACAATTTGCCACAGTTAGGTGGAAATCCGGTATAGAAGCCCATGCACCTCATACAAATAAGAAGTAGAAGGATTCACAAAAGAATCAACCCAACCCCCAAACATCCCCCCCCCCCCCCTCCCAACAAAAGAAACCCCCAACCCAAACAAAAAAATCTTAAGAGACTTGAGATCATACTAGCCCAAAGGCTCCTTCAGGCCATGCTTTTACGGCTGCAGTTATATCCCTAGTTCGCAATGTCAGTCCTGATGATGAAAGAGGACCACATTAGTATAAACACCATGGATATAAAGATGAAGAAACAAAGAACAATGACGTTCTACTTGTTTCAGCTATAGATATTATTTATCAAACAGAAACAAAGAAAGGCACTATAATAGTTCAAAGAATCTTACCCGAGATAAGAAAAATGCCAAAAGTGCTCCATTTTGTCACAGAATACTTATGTGCAAGACAGCCAAGACTAGGATTTGCAAGACCTAAGCTTATTCCACTAAGAAGAGCTGCAATAGAAACAACAGAAGATTGCTAAGATTGCATCCTCTCAAAGGAAAATAATGCCAAAAGTGAGCCATGAGAAAATTTCAGAAGATATATGGGGGGTGAAGTCAACATATTAAATGAAAAAAGGGGGAAATTTGGGATTTATAAGTGAGAGAAAAAAACTCAGTCAACATATCAATAAACTAAAAGAAACTGTCTAACGGTTTCTAATGTAAAAGAGAATGACTACCAACTTTCTCCATTAGCAGCAGATACTTGCCCAAGAAACAATCTCTCCAAGGCCTTACCACATACAGAGACATGAATAGAATCACAATTTCCAGAATTAATAGTCTCAAATTTGGTTGATGTCATGATTCAGGGTAGTTGGGATATGAGAGGAGCAGGAAGGGACAATATTTTAGATCATTTTGCAAAAGATGATGATCAAAAGGAGCATGCACGAGCAATAATAAGAGTTCAAAGGGGTTTACTGGTCAGGATAGAAGAGAATGAAACAGAGAGACATAATATTAAATAATGAGATTAGAGGGATGTAGTAAGATTGGAAAAACGAGCAACTTATTTTTTGTTGTAGACAGTAGTTATTATAGAAAACCAAGGCTATTTTCCTACTTCGGCAACTGATTGAGAGTTTAGGGCAAACGGAAAAGATCTCCACATGATCTTTATTGATCTAGAGAAAGCTTATGATAGACTTGGTGAGAGATATGTACAATGGAGCGCCAATTAGCATACGAATAACTAGTGGAGAGACGATTGAGTTTTTAGTGACAATAGGTCTGCATTAGGGGTGTCAAAATTGAGCCCATATCTCTTTGTCTTAGTTGTGGACAACTTAACTAGGCACGTACAGGATGATGTACCGTCGTGCATGTTATTCACAAAAGACATAGTTTTGATCAATGAGACCCGAAACAGCGTCAACATAAAGTTAGAACTTTAGAGGAATGCTTTAGAACTTAAAGGTTTTAAAATTAGCCGAACTAAAACAGAGTATATAGAATTCAAGTTTATGATAATCCAGAAAATAGAGAGATTGAAGAAGATGTCGCACATAGGATTAGCAATTGGTGGGTAAAGTGGAGATGTGCAACTAGAATTTTAAGTGATCACTGCATACCAATGAAGATGAAGGGTAAGTTCTATAAGATAGCTATGAGACCAGCTTTGCCTTATGGGGCGGAATGTTGGGCAGACAAAAAATAATATACCCATAGAATGAGTGTAGCATAAATGAGGATGTTGAAATGGATGAGTGGTAAGACAAGATGGGGTAGAATTCGAAATGAATCCATTCGAGAAAATTTAGGTGTAGCACCAATAAGCGATAAGATAAGAGATAGTAGACTTAGGTGGGCTGGCTATGTGTGGTGCAGACCCAGTACAACACCTGTTAGGAGGTGTGAGTTAATTCAAGTGGAAGGCTCGAAAAGGGAAAAAAGTAGGCCCAAAGGACGTGGTTGGAAGTAGTCCGAAAATATATGGGGACTTATGACCTCACTAAGGGTATAGTCCTTAATAGAGCAGAATGGCACGCTAGGATTCATGTAGCCAACATCAATTAATTTGGAAAAAGCTATGATGATAATGATGATAGTAGTTATTACATATTATGTACAACTATATATTATATATTATGTATAACTATATATTATATATTATGTACAACTGTGTAAAACTGTAAATTTAACAATTTTAACACAACTCTCATATCATCAGCCAAGAAATAAAGTTCCATTATATTCCCAATATCATAACTAATAAGTAACATAATCAATAGGAGCACGAATTAAAGAAAATACCTCAATGCTGCATGTAAGAGTTCAATCAATAATGTGAAAGAATCACAACAGGAATTACCTAATGGTAGGAAATTCCTTGTAATAAACTCCAAAACTGGTCGCCCCCAACTTAGAATTGTTTCCAATTTAGAATTTGATAAATGGGGTATGTCACCATCTCCTGCCTGTGCTTCACAGCGTACAAAGTATAAAATGTTGATTGTCATTCAACAGGCACGTCTTATTTTAAAAATGACAAGACCACCACCACAACTGCCTCTTTATTTATAAGAACAAAGGAGAATGTTTATCTAAAATGAATTGCAACTTGTTATTTTTTACATATTTCACAAAGTATATACACAACGCAGTGGCAAATGACAAGAATCATGATCAAAATTTTGAATAAGTAGCAATCATGAAGTAAAATAAGTTGCAATCATGAAGTAAAAACTCCTCCAGATCGTCCATTCTGAGAAATTAATATTATCACTTTGTAATTCTTTCTAAGTCTTTTAATGAACGATTGACAAGCAATTAATGGAAACTTTAGAAAGCCACTTGCATGCTCAGAAATGAGTTGGACATCAAAAGTCTGATTTTAACCATCAAAAAAATATTCAATTAAAATTCAATTAGGTCCGAATTTTACCAAATTCATAGTACAAATCGACAAAAATAACCCAGATGAAAGTCATGTAACTACAATTGAACTATCATAATACCTAATAAAGAAGAAAAAAGGCAAATTATTGACTCCCTAATGGTTTCCCACATCGTACTCCTCAGTAACAAAATTAGTGGATAAATGCAGCGAAGCTCCAACATTGAGAGTACACGTCGACCAATCAGTGCTTCAAAGGGCCTCTTGATACCATTTATCAGTCAATAAATACTTGATTTCCCACTCTTTCCTTTAACCTTTGAGTGGTTACTTGATTTCTCACTCTTAAAACACATGAAATTCCAGAAAACATAGTAATCAGGAAGCCCAAACGCATAAACTTAAACAAAAAATGAGATTTCTTACATATGAAGACAGAGAAAGTACCTGAGAAGGTCTTCCAACCACTCTATATATACGTTTGAAGGAGATAAAGGAATAAGGTCTATATGAGCAGTATAAATGGAGGGAGTTAGGGTTTAAAACCAGAGGAAAAGCAGAGGTGAATGAGTTGTTCAACGAAAAATAGGGTTTCCCATTGCTTGAAGATCCATTGCCGCTTATTGCTATTTTGAAACTTAGGGTTTGTGCAGCTCCCGCCACCATTTCTCCGATAGCAAGCAAAAGCCGCGAAAATGAGAAATAATAATAAAAATCCGAGTGAAATAAGGAAGTCTATTATGATCCATATGACCACAGTATACGTTTTATTACCATACCGTTTGAAAGGACGGGCATGTCATAATTGGATCATAATGTACGATGCACATGTTCAGCTGCCCCTGCTAATCTACCATTACATGTGCCAATTTATGGCTAGGGTCCCTCAATGAGCCCGCTGTGCTCAAGGTCCCCAATTTAACCTGTAGTGGTGAGATGCGCCCCTAAATTTTGTCTCGAGATATAGTTTCGATCTTCGAAATTTTATGATGACTTGAGAATTTATTTGATTTTTATTTATAAGATTTAAAGTTAAAAACAATACATACCAGTAGATCTATAAACACTTGAAAATATTATAAATTGATGATCGAGATAATTTGTTATAAAATGTACTATTTTTAAAACTTTAAATTTGTTTTTTCATATCTATGCATCTTGAGGTCAAGATGATCAAATCTGATGGTTTTCTGACATCATAAAACTTTTTTATTTTGAGGTGTATCTTACTTCAACAATGCAAAGTTGACACCTTATATAAACTTCTTCATTTATTTAATAGGTATGATATATATAAGGTTCAACCTTACTTGTAGAATTAAGGTCACGACGTTCTATATCGTCTAGGTAGTTTGACGGATCTTTTTAAACAATGTCAAAGACTTACATATCTTTTAAAGCAATGATAAAGCTACATTATTCAAAAAAAATAAATCGTGTAGATTGCCTCAACCTTACATCTACAAGTAAGGTAGCAACTTTACATACACCTTTTCCTTAATTCATGAGGGTGTTGATGACATGATTATTAGTTTCTAAGAAATACATTTCATGCATAGAATATTCTTAAGGTTCCAACCTTACATAAACCCTTTCCTTAATTCATGAGGGTGCTGATGACATAACTACTGGTTTTTAACAAATACTTTTCATTCAAAAAATAATATAACTTTCAAACTAAAGAAACCTTTCTAAGTGAAATTAAATAGGAAAATGGAGTTTCTTTGGGGATAGATCCCTCAGTCCAGATAGGGTTTCACTTGTCTTTTTTTTAAAAGGAAAATTTAGTATAGAACCCTAATTCCTTTTATTATTTTATGGTAGATCATCCTTCCGTTTTTCTTTTAAGTGGCATAAGAAAACCTCCAAAGATTTCACCATACCTTTTCTTCTCTTATCTCTCTCTTTTATTGACTTTTGATCATAAAAATTAGCCCCAACAAATCTTTGTATATCATTTCAACCCAAAAAATTTTTTAATGGATGAAAAGGGAAAAAGAGGGTTAAACACATTTTTGGGGCTAATTTTTATGGTCAAAAGTCAATAAGAGATGATGGGGTACTTTAAAATCCTTAGGGATTTCCTTATGCCTCTTGAAAGAAAAACGGAAAGAGGGTCTACCATGAAATAATATGAAGAATTAGGATTCTATGCGAAATTTTCCCTTTATTTAAACAGTTTTGGAATGAATTGAAACGTGATATTTCCCTTATAGTTGATGAGTTCTATTATGAGACAAAATTAATACGGCTTTCTTTGAAACTTATATTGCTTTAGTTCCAAAAAGGGACCATCAAATGGCTTACTCTTTTTTTGAACGGTAACATATGAATTATCATTAATTCAAATGTAAAATAGAAGATGTTCAAGCAAAGATACAAGATTACATAAATAAAGTAACCAACAGAGAGGGAATATGAACTCCTCCTTGACAAGAATATCGACATCTTCATTCGCCAATCTATAACAATGTTAGATCGTTGCCATAGAGGTTGACAAAATATCCCAAATTTGATGAAAAATAGTCCTTAATCTCCAAGTAATATGGGCATTTCTCTTACTCCAAGCAATGACATTCGCCGAGCCTCGTTCGATAATCCTGCCTCTTCTTAAGTGCATAGCAATTTCCAACCTTCTAATACCTTGTGGTTCTGCTTCATTTGCTGTTGTGATACCATAAGGATCCGAATAAGAAAATATAATGTGACCAAAATTATTTCTAATGAAACCACCATAGCCAACTGGGTTTGGATTACCAAGTGAACTTCCATCAAAATTAAGTTTAAAAGAATTCACTAGTAGTGGTATCTAAACAACTTCACTATGAATGTTGGTGGCAACACCCATAGTCGCCACTGCCAAGGGATTGCTAATGATAAGGCTTTTAAGAATAAAGCCACTATCCTTATGTGCAAGTAATCAATCAGCTGCAACTGCTACAATATTCGATTTTAATGTAGATAGACATGTACTTATACTATCAAAGACTCTTCTATTTATTTCCTTCGACACACTTTAATTAAGGCTAACCCAAATAGATCTCCAAAGAATAGTTCTCATCTTTGAAATATCGAGTGTGATCTATTGGTTAAGAAGAGCTGTGACATTCGTAATGTCACTACCGAGCCCAATCCCAAAAATATGTAACAAAAGGGCATGAGAGGAAAAGATGTAGCGAAGTTTCATCACTATCTTCACATAAGATATATACATTAGTGATAATAAACTCTCTCTTTATCAAGTTGTCAACAATTGCTAATTTATCTTGGCACATGATTAATAATAATAGTTGCACTTTAAGAGGCACATCTAATTTCTTCATCTTGAATATACCAGCATCCAACTCTCTCTAATGATTAGAAAAAATCAATAAGAATAGTTGCACTTTAAGAGACACATGCAATTTTTTAATCTTGAATAAACTAGCATCCAACTCTCTCCAATGATTAGAAAATAATAGATCGTAAGTTGACTTAACCGAAAAATCTCCCAAATGGGTAAGATTCCAAATAAAGCTATCATCCATATTTGGAGTCAAATATGTATCATTCAATAATTCCAACAATGTTTAATACTCCTTAATGAATCTGTATGTACTTCTCCTACACCTGCAAAGAATGGATCAAACAATATTAGTATAAACATCCCCACTAGCCTCCTTGACAGATGCTACTGATGTAAGGCTTATTGGTTTCCTTACTAACCTTTACAAGACTATTGTTAAATTGAGGAGACTTAAAGAGGCTTTTCTTATGGTCATTTCTAGAGCCCAATATACCTTTATGATGCAATTCGCATTTTTTATTAGTATTGATATATTGAAATTTATGTTTGAATTTATGCTAGTTTCTAATCTTCTTTTAGGGTATTTATGTTTTTTTTCTAGAGAATTGAGAGGTACAATTAGACATTTTACTTTTGAAAAAAATGACAGGCTAGGATTTAATATTGGTTATAGTTTTTTAAAGAGCAACTTAGGTTTAAGGTTTTTATATTAATATGTAAGTCTTAGAGTTTTTTTTTTTTTAAAAAAAAAAAAAAAAAACTAAAAAAAGAGAAAGGAAGGGAATAAGATTATACTTAAGGTTTTGTAAAAAAGATCGTTGTGGGATGGATTCCCTCACCTTGAGAGATGATATATTCACTCACCCTATATTTTCAACTTTTATTTTTCTTGGTTTATTTATTTATTTTTTCCTATTTTTCTACATTAACTAGTATTAGAGCTCATAAAATTTATTCATTACAATAATGCCAAAACTTACTCTTACAGTTGAAGATATATTGGCACAAAGCATCAGGGTATGATGCAAAAAATTAAAGAGAATGTAAATAAAGTCATGGAAGGTATTCAAGTTGAGATCCACGAACTTCGAGGTAAGATTGGTGAAATTAATCAGTGGTTGTTGCAATTCGAAATTATTAATTGCTAAGTAGAGAGTACTTGCAATCCCGTACATCCGGTACCAAATCTCACCATAGGGATGGACCAAACTCCAATGTTGACTCCAGATGTGCATCCTATATGCAATGAGTAAATTTTAAGGCGAGAGCCATGTGACTTGAAGAACGTCCACATGATATCCATATCAAGGTCAATCTTCTAAGCTTTATGAGGAGCTTAAAAAAGAAATTGAAATAATATTCGACATCTCAAAATTCCACTACAAGTTTCCTTTAAAGTATTCAATTAAGTGGTTCATTGAATAAAACCAAGTACCTATACAAAATGGTGGACGTTCGTCACGAACTAGCCAAATGACCTTTGAAGGATATGATAAACACAGCAAGCTCGAGGTCGAGCTTCTGCCAATCCATAAAAAATGATGCAATTAGGATTTTTTGTCTTTTTTATTTATTCATTTTTTTTATATTCAAATTTAGGTTTGGGGTTATTTGAGTTTCAAGTGTTCTTTTAGGGTATTTATGTTCTTTTTTATATAGAATTGAGGGGTAAAATAGGAAGTTTAATTTTTAAAAGATAAAAGGTCAGAATTTTATATTGATAATGGTTTATTAGGGAGAAAGTCACATTTAGGAGTTTCTTTTATAATTATATAAGTCTTGGACAAGAAAAAAAAAAGTATAAGAGAGTAAGAGTTTATTTGAGTCTTGTGAAAAGGTCTTTGGGGATGAACTCTCTTGTAAACCTTGATAAATGTATACTTTCTCACCATTTATTTTTATCTTTTATTTTTTTGTTTTTTTTATTTTCTTTCTCTTCCTTCTCTTTGCATCAATTTAACGAAGCCAAATCCTAGATTTGTGTCCTAATGGACCAAGAATACATCTATTAAAGGATTAGAAAGGAAAACTTGAGGATCATTTATAAACTAAATATAGAAAATGCGTATGATGGAGTGGATCAGAAGCTGCTGCAACAGGTGATGGTTGTTATGTGTTTTGGCAATAGATGGAGAAATTTGGTATTGGTTGTCTTTCTACATCACATTTTTATCTTTATCAAAAGGGAACTCTAAAGGTTTCTTTAAATCTAATTGAGGAGTTCACCAGGGAAATCCTTTATTCTTTTTTTATTTACCATTATCAAAAGCTCTTACTGTAATATCGAGATGTATTGAAATGAGGGATTACTTTGGATTTACTATCATAGATCAAGGCGGATTAAAGATCGCACTCCTACAATATGCAGATGATAACCTTATTTTAGCGACGCTCTTGAAATAAAAATATAAAATTTTAGGTGGGTTGCATAAAT